TAAAGCCAACTGATCTTTGATAAAGGGTACCAATCAATCCAGAGGGAAAAGAAAAACCTCTTTAGCAAATGGTGCTGTAAAAATTGGGTATCCACCTGCAGAAAGATAAATCTAAACCCTTATCTATCACCATTAACAAAAATTAACTCAAAATGGATCAAAGATCTAAACCTAGACCGCAAATTATAAATCTATTGGTAGAAAACACTGGAGGAACTCTGGGAGACGTTGAGGTAGGCAAGCAAGACACCCAAAGCACAGGCAATAATCCCTAAAATAGACAGGTGGGATTAATGAAATTAAGAAGTTTCTGCACAGCGTAGGACACCAAAATTATTATGAATTGACAACCCTCGGAATGGGGAGAGAATTTTTGTTAACACTGCCTCAGATAATGGACCGATAACCACAATACACAGAGAACTCGAGCAGCTAACCTGGAAAAAAATAATCAACCCAATTAAAAGATGGGAAAATGAGCTGAATAAACTCTCTAAGGAAGACATACAAACAGACAAAGAGCTTATGAAAAAATGCTCAACATCCCTCGTCATAAGGGAGAAGCAGATCAAAACCACAACGAGATACCACCTAATCCCAGTAAGAATGGCAAAGATTAAAAAAACAAAACATGGTAAGTGCTGGCGGGGATGTAGTGAAAGAGGAGCACTCCTACATTACTGGTGGGAATGTAAATTGTTACAGCTACTGTGGAGAACAATATGGAGGTTCCTCAAAGACCTTCAAATAGAACTACCATATGATCCAGCAATTCCACTCCTGGGTATTTACCCAAAGGACAGAATGCTCAGTTGGAAAAGCGCTTGCACAACTATATTTATTGCAGCATTATTCATAATTGCTAAGACATGGAACCAACCCAAATGTCCGCAAACAGATGAAAGGATTGAAAAAGTGTGGCACATATACTCCATGGAGTACTATTCAGCCTCAGAAAACAATGCCCTGGAATTTGATAAAAAGTGGATGAATATGAAAGATTTTTTGCTGAGTGAAGCAAGTCAGGCTATGAAAGAGAGACACAGTATGTATCCACTTAACATCCTATGAAAGAGAGACACAGTATGTATCCACTTGACATCTACAGACTGTCCATACTCTATCTTAGAAACTGAAAGTCTGGAGGACATAAAAGCATTAAAAAGTCTTATAGACACTAAAGACAAAGTGGAAGAAGAGTGTGGGACGAGAAGAGCATAGGAACGGAAATTTGGGGGAAAAATTAGAGAGGTAAAACATTTGTGGGACACAGATATGGTTTATTATCTGTTGATGAGGATGTGTATAGTATTCTCAATGGGGCTGAACTGAGGTATATACCATGCTGGGTAAAGTCTCTTTACAATCTAAATGATGTATAGCGATCGATGTATAAATAATAATAATAATAAAGAAAAAAATACATTTAAAAAGAAAGTCACCCTGGGCGTGTGTGCATGTGTGTGTGTGTGTACGTGTGTGTGAGTATGAGTGTGTTCCAAATACCAAGAGAAGAATGGAAGAGAAGGATTGCAACATGGCCATTCCCCATGGAGGGCATGATTTCTCCCTCTCTCCCTCTCTCTCTCTGTCTCTCTGGAGAGCATGCACACCCTTTGGCAATTAAAATAATTAAAGGATATTCTTTCAAAGTTTAAAAAAAATAAGACCAGTATCTATCTTTTAATTTTAGTCTTTTTTTCACTCAATGAAAAGTGTCACACTTAACATGTATTTTTCTTAAATCCAATTAGAGAAATAAACCCAAATTCCGAAGTCAAAACGTATTCTCCATTCTCCTATCCTTCCCTTCAAGATGTGTAAAAGGACTTTGCAAATTACACACAGGTTGCTAGAACCTTCCTTTAAAATGTGTGTATGTCGGAGTTGGGCAGTGGGGACAGGTCAGTAGAAATTGACCTTTAGTGTTCTACTCTTGGCCTTTGGAACTTCAGCTAAAACTAACATCAAGTAAGTCTTATTTTAACACCACATTTCTCAAGAAAAGTGAATAACAACAGATCTAGAAGGAAATCCCAAGTAAGGCAAAAGTAACATTTAAATGGGAGGGGACAGAGGGGTGGAAAGTAATTTCAGGTGGCAAAATGATTTAGCTATCTCTGCATGTCAGTATTAAAATACATTGCTCTTTTAAATTATTACATAATGTTCAATTTTATAGCTATCCCACAGCTTAATTTCTCTATACAAATTGTGCAAGATGTAAAAATTTTCTCATTTTAAAAATTATTTGCCTCAATGGAAATATTTGTGCATATGTGAGTTTTTTCTCTAGAATATACTCTTAGATGTAGAATTGAAGGTTGAAGACTGTTTCTTTGGTATTTTAATTAAATATCATAAAAAACATTAAAAGAGATTCAATATTATTAATAGTTAGATCAATGCAAAATAAAATGAAATCCCATTCCATTAGTTCAGCAGCAATGTTGACAAGAATATGAAGAGAAATACAAACAGAATGATACTATGATTTTTTTTAAATTAATCACAAGCAAAAGTATTTCAATTCTTTGTGTGAGTGTGTGTGTGTGTGTGTGTGTGTGTGTGTGTGTGTGCGCGCGCACACGCGTGCACGCACACGCTAAATTTAAGTAGCCAAAAAATTTTTGGGAAGGACAAACACCCAAACAAGAACTATTACTTCAACTGGGTGTGAGGCTATAGGAGTAGAAGGATGGGGAGACAGAGAAGCCGTGGGAACTTCTTGGTTTTATTATTAGAACTTAAGATAAATAATATATTAAAATATTGGTTATATCATTAAAACAATAGAAATATATATAAATAAGCCCACTGAATTATGCTTATAAACTCTCTTATAAAATAAAAAAGCTAGAATAAATTAACTCCTAAACCTAGTCTCTAATCTCTTCTCAATTAAAAAGATTCCATAAAGGCTACAGATGATCTGTTTCCACTTCTGTAGGTTTTTTCCCCCAAAGTGAGTAAATGCGACTGAATTTAATAGAGAGTTGGCAAGAAGGGAAAGAAGCCTAGAAAATATGCTACAAGAATGAGCTAAAGTCAATGTAAAAAAAAATAATAATAATAAATACAATCTGTTCAATCTCATAAATGGATAAAATTAGTATACAGTACTTGGGACCCAAGGTTCAGGAAAGAAACAACTATCTGAATTTTTATTCAACTTCTAACACAGATTCACTCTTTAGAATGAAATTGTACTTTGGAAGAGAGAATGATGCCTTCTGAGTGATGAATTTGAAAGGGTCATAGTCAGACTCTTTACAACCTATAGAAGCACAGAACTTCAAATTGGCAAGGATAAAGAGTGTCAGATTAGCACTCTCCAGATTTTCTTATAATATAGCACAGAGAGTACAGACTAATATTTTTATGGCACCCTCTAGAAATGGATGAGAGCAGGAAACCAGCCTAAGAGCTACAACAGCCCCAGTGCTGTGGATGACCCAAAGACCAAGAACATTTTGGCACCCTTTAACTCAGACATAGCACACCCATGAGGCCTGACACAGCCAGGGGAAGACTGTATGGCTCAGCTTCTTCCTTTAAATGAACACTCTCCAACAGCCTTTATTGTTTGGTAGTAACAACATGATGGCGGTTCATAATGCAAAACTATCTGTGATGAGACAGCAAAGCAGATTAAATCAAGGTGGTGGGAATGATGTGATTTGGTTCTTTGACAAAGACCAACTGATAGGGACCAACAGGTGGTATTGTGGTTAAGGCATTGGGCATGGCCAACTGCAGTGCGAGTCCCGAACCTGGCGGCATAAAAAATCACACCAAGTGTCAAAAAATCTTATTTTGTGTATGTGCCCAAAATCCCAGGAGGAAATTGGGAAAAAAAGAGATTGCAGCATGGCTGTGCCCCCTAGGGAGGTGATTTCTCACTTTTCCTCTGGCTATCTCTCTCGTCTCTTTAAGGATCAACTGGCAATTCTGGAGGTGTACTCTACATACGAATGCTATTCAGACCCCAAAATGTCCTCAGATATCACCTGTACAAGAAAACTTGGTTTCCTGTTTGAAAAGAAGAAAGACCTCTGCCTCTCTTCCCCTTCTGTGGACCTGCGTACATTCCCTCTGAAAAACTGTTCTTACAAGACTGAAAACACCCAGCAACTAGTTGTACAGAAATCTGGCATCATCATATTCAGTACGTCCAAAAAGGAAAAAGCACACCACTACTTTAAAATAGTATGCCGAGGGGCCAGCAGATGGTGGAGCAGTTACATCGCTTGGCTCCCACGTGGCCGACCACAGTTGAATCCCAGACCCAGTGGCTTGAAATTCATGCCAGGCGCATGTATGTGCATTCCCAAGATCCAGGAAGAGAGTGGAAGAGAAGGAACTGTTGTGTGGCCATTCCCCGCTATTGGGTGGTTTCTTATATTTCCTCTCACTGACTGTTTCTCTCTCCCCCTGGCAAGCACATGCACCCTATGGCAAAAACCTTTACAAATAATAAAGTATGTCAATGGAGACAGCAGGTGGTGTGGAGGTTGGGGTGGCTGGATTCCACATGGTCAACTGCATGGTTCCAGTTCCAGAGGAAAATGGAGGAGTGGGGATTATGGCATGGTCAACTGCCCTGGGCGTTGACTTCTCACTTTCTCTTTCTATCTCCCTCTCTCAGGCAAATGCATGTGTCCTATGTCAAAAATAAAAAAATAAAGTTGTCAACTATATCAAATAGTCCCAAGAGTTAATAAACTACGAAGCAAAAATTGGCACTTGAGTGTCTTCTCTTTAAAGACTATCATTGTAAAGCATTGTGAATTCCATAGTAAGGGTTAGAAATATGAGAACAAGAGCCAAAAGAGCATAAATGGCAGATATTACAAACCACAGTGCATGAAAAAAATGACCATGTTGGCAACTAAAATGTAGGTCTTTTGGAATCTCATCATCTCGAACAACATCTGCAGGACACACAAAATTCTCCCTATAGATAAGAAACAAGAAAAACAAATTTGAACTTACAGTACCTGGTAAAACGTGGGTTATGTTCAGTCATTGCAACCAGCAGCTTCAGAGCATATGCTGGTACCGGGTCAGGCTCTGTGAGGATGTGCTCATACCTAGAATGAGAAAGTTATTTTTTAAATATCCAGTATATTTTCTTATTTAAATCTCCCTCTGGACAACAGAAACAATAAGGCACAAACATCTGGGGAAAAAAAAAAACTGAAATAAAAAGCCAACAGGTAGCATGGTGATTAAGGTGCTGGATCCCACATGACGACCAGCACAGTTCGAATCCTGGACCTGGCAGCTTGAAAGACATGCCAGGTGCGTGTGTGAGTGCAACCAAAATTCTGAGATGAGAATAGAGAAGAAGTGGTTGCAGCATGGCCAGTATCCCCAGGGGGTGATTTCTGACTTTCCCTCCTCTCTTCCCTCTCTCTCTCTCTCTCTGTCTCTGTCTCTCTCTGTCTCTGGTAAACGCACACACCCTGCAGCAAAAAGCTATTAGGTCATCAGGAAAATCATGATGTACTTTTCTGTTTTTCTGTGAAAAAATGCATTATGACTTTCCCGATGACCCAATAAGACAAAGACACGGGACCAGCAGTTAGCGTAATGGCTATGTCACTGAACTCCCATGTAGTCGACCGCGGTTCAAGTCCCGGACCCGGTGGCTTAAACTCACGCCGGGCGCGTGTGCATGCATGCCAAGATCCCAAGAGGAGAATGGAGAAGAAGGGATTGCAGCATGGCCATCCCCCCTGGGGGGAGATTTCTCGCTTTCTGTCTCTCTGTCTCTCTCTGTCTGTCTGGCGAGCGCATGCACTTTATAGCAAAAACCTCTCCAAAAAAAAGAAAATAAAAAAACAAAGGTACACAAAAAACTGGAATAAAATTATGAACCACAGAACCTGCACAGGTTACATAAGCTCATGGAGCTTCAAAGCGGTGCACTTGCCAATGGTGACGACAATACTGACTTACCCCATACTGTTATTTGGAAGATACATTGAGATAACCCATGTACTGTTACAATTCAACTGGGCATTTGTGCTGGGGCTCTCCAAGACCACCCTCCCATTTGGAGATTCTCTAGAGGACTTGTGGGACTCAGCATTTAGTTGTACTCACAGTGAAAATCTAGAATAGCATTACGTAGGGGCACGAAGCTGATCCACAAAGGAAAGGGACTCAGGTGGAAGGCTGGAGAATGTGCAGCTTTCCTGAGGCTCACGCCCATGAGGGCTCACACAGCATATTGTTGCTCCAGAAATGAAAATGCTGCACGCTCAGGGAAGTCCCTTAGAGTCAGCAACCAAGGGTTTTATTAGGGGATGGTCATGTAGACAACCTCTGTCTAACACGAATCAAAATTCAGGCTCCCAGAAGGAAAGCAGGTACTCAGCATAAACCAGACTGGATGCACAAACAGTCTAGGTGGAGTGAACAACCCTATGTGACCACTGATCAGGAGCTTGGCCTGAAATCAGGCCTACTTAATGAAAGCAGAGTCAAGCCTGCTGTGTTAACAAAGTTCTGCGGAGTAGTCTTATAATTAATACTTACAAATCCCAAATTAAAAGATTACCAAAGAGAATAAAACCCAGACTGGTATTATCACAGGTTTGCACAACGACCCAGCCAACGTGGTTGCATCTATAACATAAGTGCCCGGAAGCCATATGGTCAGACCCCAGGGGGGACTTGTAAATACACTAGGCATTAAGTGAGGGGTCCAAGACCTAAGGAGCAGGAAGACCAAGGAAAGGAGACCACAGCATGCTGAGACCCTGTCAAGAGTGCTTCTCTCCTTCTCCCTCATCTGCATAAAGTCTCTGTTACCAAAGTTTTTTTTTTTAAAAAAGTTTGCACAACAGGTCCAGCCACAGTGGCACAGTGCTGGCATAATGCTTGGCAATGCTGGAAGCCGCACAGAAGATCGGGATCAGTTCCCAGATAGACCTGGACGCACACCTGAGATACTGACTGGTTGAACACTGAGGTGTGGGAGATCACAGCATGGACCCTGGTGTCTCTGTCCTTCTCTTCCCTTCTCTTTTCATTTCATGAAAGAAACAAGCAAACATTAAAACAAAAATGTTTCCATAATAAAACTCAGACTGCTCTCCCATGTTTGCTAGTGGAAGCTGGTTTATACACTATGTCTTACCTGTCTAGTGGATAGCACTGTGTATCTATACAATTAATATGCACCAAATAAATGAGTGAATGAATGAACAAATAAATGAACGAATGAACTAGCCAGTCAACTTTACAACCTAATTCTCTGGGACATCCAACATCGAAAATGGAAGAAAATTCTCTTTAAAAATCCAAAATGGATATTTAAAAATCTATGGCATGAAACAGATGCTTTTCATTTCGAGAACAGGGCCCCAGGCTCCTACTCTGAGCTTATTTACTTTCATTTTGGAAATCATTATATAACAAGCTTAATTATATAGCCTCTAAGCCCACAGCCATGACAAAGGAGGCAAGCTAAGGAAGGAGAGCGACTATTACAGAAAAGGAACCTGACAATTATAAGACATGGGACTTGAAAGTAGAGGGTTAAAAAGAATGAAAGAAATCCCAAGAATTGAGCAGGGAGCAGGCTGGGGGCATTCAATTCAGTCTGACAAGCTGCTCGAACCTCAAGAGGGCCTGAGGGAAGTCATACACCAAGTGTTCAAAATGGAGGTAGCAGGGCAAGAATAAATTAAGTTGGGCACAGCCTTCTGTTTAAGACCCAGGAAGTATCATATTTTATAAAGTTTACTTATACTTTTGAATTATAACAAGTAAATGATTACCTATGTATGAAAAAGATGAAAAGTAAAACACTAACCATTCATTATAAAATTATAACTAAAATATTAATAAGTCAAAGACACCAATAAATTTAAAAAACATATAGCATCACCAAGCATGAATTATATCAAGTACTAAAAAGCCCACATTAGGGAAACAATTAACATATTTTATCATACAAATAAAACAAAAATCAAGTAAACATCTTTCAGAGTTGCTAAAAATGTGTTTGACAAAAATTTAATATCCAACTCAATTTAAAAAAAAAAAAAGAGAGAACAACTTAGGATACTAGAGAGAGATCATTAGCTCCTTTTTCTGACTAAATAATCTTATGACAGAAAGGTCTTAGGGCCAGCAGATGGCATGGTGGTTAAGATGTTGGATTCCAACATGGCCAACTATAGTTTGAGTCCTGGACCTGGTGGCTTGAAAATCACGCCAGGTGCATGTGTGTGTATGCCCAAAATCCCAGGAGGAAAATGGGGGAGAAGGCATTATGCCATGGCCATCTCTCCTGGGGGATGATTTCTCCCTTTCCCTCTCACTCTCTGGTGAGCACACGTGCCCTGTAACAAAAACCTATTTGTAAAAAAAAGGTCTAATCATTGACTCCAACATACCACAAACACTCTAAGTTTCAATGACTTACTAGGACTCACAGAATCAGAAAACTTATTATACTCCCAATTATGAATTATTACATTGAAAAAAATACAGACTAAAATCACCAAAGATAATCAACACAGGGTAGAGTTTGAGACCTGGCCAAAGCTTCCAGTTTTCACCTCCCAGTGGGGTTATACAGACAGTGTTTAATCCTCCTAGCAAGGTATGACAATGCATGTGCAGTACTGCCAACCAGAGAAGCTCATTTGAACCTTGGTGGCCAGAGTTTTTATTGGGTTTGGTCTGTAGCCTGTGTACAGGTTGAGCTTAGTTATTCAGACTCTAGGCCCTCCAGAGGTCAGGCTGAGATGGCCAAAAGCCCCCACCATAATTCATAATGTTAGCATGAATTTGCTGGTATGGATCAAGGTATACAAATATAGTCCTATCAGCCAGGATATTCCAAAGACTAAGAAGTTGTCCCCTAGGAGGCCGTCATTGGCCAGTTTCTTTGGAATGTACAGAGTTTGAACATCGCACATCTGCTGAGTTAACTCTTTACAGCACACATCCTTAACAGGGAAACTCAGAAGCAGTATTCTTAAAGTTGAAAATAAGAGAAGGCTGGCTGAATGGTGGCACAGTGGTAAAGCGTGATGCTCTGTGAGGCTGACCCACAGGGAGAGGGTTCTAGGGTCATGTCCAGAGACCTCCGAGTAAACTGGAGTACACTTACTCACAATCTGGGCTCTCTGAGGCTGGAGGAGATCACAGTGTTGGGACACTGCTAGGGGTGTTCTCTCTTTCTCTTTCTTGTTAGTGAAAGAAATAGATGAATAAACTTTGAAAAAGGAAGAAAGAGAGAGAGAGAGAAAGAAAGAAAGAAAGACAGACAGACAGACAGACCAACCAATTCAACCCTCTTCCATCACTTACCAGTATTTGGAAACAATCAGTGAGGGAGTCTCAAATTGAAGTGAGTATGAGAAACTTCTGATGAGTTACCCATTGGGATAACTGCACAACTATCTTGCCTTGCTCCCGCTCCTAGACATACTTGAATCAGTGAGGGAAAAGGCTACAAGCCTAAGAATTTTTTTAACAACTCCCCAAGGGATTTTTTTTACTCACATGCTTGTGTGGAAAACACAAGAGAAGATATGAACAACTATTTGGAAAAATAATAGAAAACTTATTCTCAATCAGATCAAAAATATAATTAAAAAATACACAATAGGAACTAGGTAGAAGCTACATCTATAAAGAAAACGCTGAGACTTTATTGACTAAAATTAAAATGTCTTGAGGTTGTTTGAGGTTATCTAATCTTGAAACAAGAAGGAAGGAAGAAGCTTGCACTGGCCCATACATGAGAATTTTACCAAAGAATATTGTTCTATGTTCTTCCCACTGGAGGGAAAAAAAAAAAAAAAAGGTAAAATTCTTAATGGCTATGCTTAGAATACAAATATTGAATATATTTTAGTTTCATCAAAGATAAGTTTGTAATGGCCAGAAAAATATAGCCAAAAGTATCCTGTGATTTATTAAACTTGTCCTCTAAACAGAGATAATGCAGCCAAGCTGATAGTAACCAGATCATGCTTTCCTCTGAATGCAACATGGCAGGAAAAATAAAGAAAACTAGCGGTGAGACCTGACTCCTGATATGGTCTTGGAGGAGAGTGACCAG